ATTCCTTCTATAATCGAGTAATGTTCTTTGTTGTAACAATACCTCTCAAAACAGGTATTATCAACTAGTGTTATAATTGCACTACTCCAGTACCGGGTTGAGGAAAGGGGTGCATAAGATTACACAGTTTGAAACATCTAGCTTGCAACAATTCGTTAGTATTTTTATGTTCGTCTTTTAATCGGTAATCGTCAGTCTAACGGTCTGTTTGTCACTTTTATATTTGCAACAATGAATCCTTTGATCCACTCGCGGATGCCGTGGGAATCCAACTACCGCTTCTTTGTGCGCGCAAACTATTCACTAATGTGACTATTACTTCACAACATCATACCTTGTGAAGTACCTTCAAGTAAATCCAACCAATCGCATTCCACACGAACCCCACAAAGTGATTGGTGCTTCTGCCGCCTCACATCAGCGATTGAACCGAGTCTATGGAAACCCCGCTGTCGGAGTGAACCGATTTTTCGATAGTCATCATAATCATCATCATTGTATAGCGAAGTACAGTGAAACGAACTTCACTGATCGCTGCCAAATTCACAATGCATACAAGGTTAGTGGTAATATGTAAAGTGGACAGTGATTGGGCCTATTTTGTGGAACGGAGAAGAAAGTGAACCTCTATGGTCAACACTTAGAGTGCACAATTGAACTCTGCATACATACCGTTTCAAGCTTTCTGGGTTGATAAGAAATGACAACAAGAACACCACTGCTGTCGGTTCGCTGCCACATCCTTCAATGTCTCCGACCAAACTAGTTGTGGAGCTTTTCGGACCCCAAACTCAGAGGCGCGAGACACCTGCTCTACCTAATGGCTGTGTGCATTTCTCCATACCTCGTCTCCACGTCATCTGTTGAACTCCACACGGTTTCCTCCAGCCCGGATCGGCTACAGTGAATAAAGCGCGGTGCGGCAGACGACAGCTGGGCATACGCAATACGTGACCTAATCAGCGAAGTCTACTAATCTGAATTCGGTGTGCTAGGAAATTACTTTCTGGTAGAGTCCCAAACACACGACAGTATACCTCCACGTTACTAACCCGTTCGCTCCATCCCACATGGGCTAAACTACATAAACACCGATAATCGAATACTTCGATTACACAAACAAAAGATGATTGGATCTGCGGCAGTGAAAAGCCATCCTGTATAGCTAGCACGGTAAAGGTGGCACGCAGATCACCACACCACATCACGGTGCAGTCTCGCAGTGGTAGATAAGGGTCAAACAAATTATTTCGTTACACTGTACTTTCTAAGAACACTCACTTAACGAAGACAATTGCGGTTATGCAGTTTAACAACAGTGAAGGATATCACCACTGGTAAACGGGTAGCTTCTCGTGTCAGGTGTTTATAATCTGTTGAATTCGTACGCACAAATGCAATTCACCACCATCATCACTGATCGCTGCCAAACTCATATTGCATACAAGGTAAGTAGGAATGTTTAAGAAGGATAGGGATTGTACTCACTTTTAGGGACCGGAAAAGAAAGCGAACCTCTATGGTCAACACAGAGTACACAGTCCAGCTGTGCATACATACAATTGCAAGTATTCTGGTCTGATAAAAAGTGACATGAAGGTCGTCATTGTTGCTGGTTCGCAGCCATGACCTTCAGTGTTTCCAACCATGCGGTTACGAGTCTTTGGACACCAACCCGGAAGAGGTGAGACACCTAATCTGCCTATTCGTTCCATGCATGACTTCACGCCTGGTTTCCACGTAGTTTTTTCCAGTCTGCAACAGCCGCTGCGAATAAGGCGCGCTGCGGTAAGCGACCGTCGGAGATACGCAACACGTGTCCTGACCAAGGAGCCTATTGAACTGGATTCGATGCGATAGCGGGTTCTTGTTTGACGCATTCCCAAACACCCGACGACTTACTTCTAAGTTAATAACCCGCTCACCCCATCCCGCTTGGGCCAGACTACGTAAGCATCGATTGTCGAAAGCCACTAGGCCACGGATGTCTTCTGCTTGCAAATTCAAGGTCTCACAACCCTACAGCAGAACTGACCGTACAGTGGCGCAGTATGCACGGCTTTTCAACTTCAGTGAGACGTTACGTCGCCGCCACAGGTGCACTTCTGCTGCAGTAGGAGGTTCACATAACACTACCCACGGCGCCTCAGCTACAATAGACGCGATAGTGTGGTTAGCGCTTGGCCAGCTGAACTGTTCGTTGAAGTACTCCGTCTACCGGTCAAGCCGTTGTTCCGTACTGTGAATAGTTAGTCCACTTTTGTCGCAGGTTGTGCCATTCACTGGGGTTCGCCGATCTTCCCTGTTGCGTATCAGTTGTAACATTCCCTGATGCAGCAGCTACTTCCATTTCACGAGCTATTGTTGCCCACGAGTTCTCACGATCTTTCTTGAGGATCTTCTTGATTTGACGTTGCAGACGCCACCTTTCCTTTATCCCGAGCGGTGGGGATTTGCCGCTTTTTCTCCAATAGTGCTACTGACTGATCAGATATGCAATGCCTTGGTCGGTCTGCCGCTTCAGATCCAGAAGCAATCCTCGCCATAGAGTGCACTGCTCGTCTAATCTGATCCCATTGTTCATCTACACTACCATCCTGCACTGCGATTATCCCAAGACATAGTTCTGATTCAAAACGGACACGAACGGCTGGAACAGATAGGCGATGATCTGACAGTCGAGTTTGGTGGGGTTTTCGGCGACCAATGAATTGGAGAGTGAACTGCATCAACACTAATGCATGATCAGATTCAACGCAGGTGGTCCAAAAGGACCTGCAGTTATGTACTGAGCCACGCCAACGGTAGCTTACTGCTGTGTGATCAATCTGAGTTGGCGTGCCAGTTGCATTGGAGCGCCACGTCTCTATCCGTTAAGCGCTGTCGGAAGTTGGTACTAGATAGGAGGAAATAATGATCTGCTCAAAACTGAATAAATCGATCGCCATTATCTGTTCGCTGGAAGGGTAGCGCACAATGACCGCCTAGGGAAGCTTCCGGTGAGCTCAGTTTTCCGAATTGAGCTTTAAAATCACCTGCGAGAACAACTATATCGGAACTTTGACTCAATCGAATGAGTTTGGTGAGTTTATCATAAAAGTTGGCCTTTTGTGCGTCAGAACTGCAGTTGGTCGGTGCATACGCTGAAATGATGAACATAATATACCTTGTGATGTTGCTTCCCTTCCCGACGCTGATTGACCCTTGGAGCCGCATCGCACATAAGCGACTGTTGGCGGGGATCCAATCGTGTAGTGCGGCTTCAGCTATGTTATTCAATACAATGCCCACCCCGCGCTGGCCTCTTGAACGGACTTCGTCGTAACGTACGGAGGAAGAACCTCAAACACAACCCCCGGTGCACTTGAGTGACACATATTATGGGATTCGAGTCTCCGATACGCAGCAAACATCAATCCACAAGGAGTCCATTGTACGTGCCAGATACGCTTGTTGACCATCAGGTTCTGTGTTTGACGAGGCTTAAGAATCTGCAACCCGTGTTGTGGTAAACTACTTACCGGGCTTCTTGGGGACGAACTTTGGCGAGTGACGAACAAGTTGTCTGAGGGAATATCACGGGTCGGAGGAAGGGGTAAAGGGATAGGGTTAGGGTTAGGTACGGAAGACAAAGAATTAAACAAAGGTTGGGATATCTGAGCAGTACCCACCCCGCTCGATGTAATAGACAACGCGGTCCTGATTATCCTGCGCGACGACCGATGCAGTATGGAATTATTTTTTGTTTGTGTATGCATTGGGTTTTGATGGACGGGTACTGCCAGCGTGTCCAGCCACTAAGCAGGAGAACGATTAAGGTTCTCGTCCAAAGCCTTTAGTTCTAACAAGAACCTGCCCGGAAGACAGCGGATAAGGCGAAATGGAGGCCAATCTATTTGAATCGATTACTCCTCTACCATTTTATCGATCGAGACGCTAAGCCGAGTCGAACCCCCAACCTGGAGGACCAGGAGACTAGACTTCGTCTGACCTCCACTCTTTGACCTTTCATGCATGATAAGGTCTTCACCTTTTCAAAAGCCATCTTTTGTGGTTCGTAGGGTCAGGGGGTGCACAAGCCATGGCATCGTGTCAAGATACAGTCACCTCGCGATGGTTGCTGTCTCGTTGTTCCCCATAGGCAAACAAGAGTACATTTTGCGAGGACTATAGTTTCGACGGGGTGGGGTTTTGACTGTTCCAGCCACCCAACCCGCCCCACCGGTCTACTTTGTCTTTGACTCTTGATCGTGTGATCTTAAGACGAGAATTAGCGAACCCGGCGGAAGGTGGTCTCGGTAGACGAGTAATTAAGCGAATCACGTTAAGATGGATCGATAAATTGGTCACCATGCTGAGGCGCGAATGTTGGAATAACATTGTATGAGTGGGTTTAGTTTAGGCCCTCAATAGCCTAATGAGTAAATTCCATTGAGGCGCAGGCTCCCTCGAGTAACACCGATTCCTTTTGACCTAAATGAAATTGCTTACATATTTCTGGCATTGAAAGACACACTTGACAAGATACGTCAAATCGGCACAAAGATACATTGAAAGAACTAGCAGTATTTCATTAGAATAGAAGGACTGAATGTGAACTCATTCACTAGCTAACATCTATGGAATTTTTCCAGATAAGCCGCTCTACTAATGCAAAAAGTGCATGCGCGAAAAGTTAAACTCCTTCACCTTTTGCGCACAGCCTTTACCTATTTTTGATGAAAACAATCTTTTCTAGATAAGCCCCGCCACTAATGCAAAAAGTGCATGCGCGAAAACAATTCCTTATCCGCATCTAGGCTCATTTTGTGCAAAGATTTTCTCCGTTCGGACGTAAAACCTTAAATGAATTTTCTGACGCTTTCAACTCTCTTTCATGACAAGGAGACGGCAATACGTTTTTTGCAAAACAACGGGGTGATCCATCAGCAACGTTTGTGCAACAATGGCCACCAAATAACACTTTCAACTGTTTCTAACTGTTGGAGATCTAATGCCCGACAGTATCGGCAAGAAACCGGTCTTCGAAAGGGAACTTGGCTGCAGCGGTCTAGGATGGAGCTTAGGACAGTAATTCTATTCATTTATTGCTGGTCCACAACTTTGGCAAAAATCAAATTCTGCTTAGAGGAATTATCTATTAGCCTTACGACCGCTGTTGATTGGAAGAACTTTCTTCGCCGTAAATACCACGCTGGGCGACTCGGTGGATTTTCGAAGGTGTCTGCCGGGAAACTAAAAAGGTGTTCATGTATGCAGTGCCAGATCGAACTGCAGCTACTTTGATGGACACAATCGCTCCCGGCTCAATCATCGTTTCCAATATGTAGACATCTTACCAAGGCAAAGGTACCGAAAAACGGACCTTTTCGTGCAAATGCTTAATGACGTCATAATTTCACCCTCTTCAATAAAAACTAAGAGTACAAACCTCATATCCTCTTTTTTCTGATATTTTTTGGGTGGTGGGGGTTAATTTTTTGGCGGAGCTTATCTGGAAATGATCCATTTCTATTATATTTCGCTCTGTAAATCCTCCATTGACTAATGCGTTCTATCCAAAATGGCAACAACCTGTCATCCACAGCTTCTTCCTTTGGTACTGAGTGGAGCGCGTGGTGGTGATAATAACTAACGTTTATCCATGATTCTGTAAAAGATGATGGCTTTTTTTTAGACACCGTGTGACTCAGGAGTATTCAGTAGAAACAATCATTGAACTACGAGGATCACACAAATGTAATCAGTCTTTGAAAAGATGCGACTCGATTGATGAATGATGCAACAAGGATGATAAAGTACGCTACGAAGCTGATGGTTCTGTAAACGTCCGTCGAATTCTATCACATCATAGCATAGTCGTGGACCACATCATACCAAAAAATGATCAACGAAAGCGTTTATATAACCATAGAATGATGGGGATGACCGCGAGGACATAGGTAACGCTAAACTATAAGTTTTTTATTGTTTATTGTCATACATTTAAATTGCCTTATTTTTCCCGACAATATATTTTGCGTGGTCTCTTCTCAGTTGATTGGATTAAATCATGATTGTTTTCCTTGACATCAATTGAGATTCACGTTACTCGATTCGTCCACACACGAGATAGCGCGATCATCGTATGGTGAGAGAGATTCAGTGGGGTGAACTTCACTGATCGCTGCCAAGCTTACAATGTAAACTAAGTAAGTGAGAGAGTACAAGATAAATAGGTTTTGGACATGATAAAAAGATAGACAAAGAAAGTAACCTGCTCTGGTCAACACAGAGCACATAATTTAACTGTGCACACACATCTGACCTGATAAGAAATGACAAATGACGGTTAGTTGCCAAATGCTTCGAACTCTCCAACTAACCAGTTTCCGAGTCTTTCGGATCCTAACTTACAAGACGGCAGATACCTACTCTACCTAATCGCTTTGTGCATTTTTTCATGCCTCGTTTCTGTTGACCTCCACGTGGTTTCCTCCAACCTGGAGCCGCGACTGCAAATCATGCGTGAAGCGGTAAACGACAGCATGGTATGCATTATACGTGTCCTGACCAATGAAGCCTACAAATTTGAATCTTTCTGATAACTAATTTTCCAGCGATTCATTCCCAAATACTTGTCAGCCTACCTTAGTATTGCTTATACGCCCACTCCACCCGATTCTCCCCAAACTACATAAACATCCGCAGTCGAAGAGTCTTAGTCGGTGATTATCCTCCACGGGCGAATCAATTCTCTCAACCATTAAGCAGAACTGACCGCACATTGGTGCAGTTTCCAAGAAACATCACGTCGGCACCAGAGGTGTTTCAGTCCCGCTTACGCTGCTCCTGTCTTCGAAATGTGATTGGTTACTTCCTTCAGTATGCTACCCATCATTCGTCACGCAACTACCTAAGTAGGAGAAACAACCCATTATAACTGTTTCTTAAACATACAGCATCAGAACCGATTAGACGCCAGTCTTGTAACATCACTGTTCGCTTTGAAGGGAACTATCTTTGTTTCAGTGCCGCTTTGAGGTGTAACCTTTTGATCTTGGTTACTGATCATATATTCTGATCCGACTGCAATACAGTATTTTATGTTGTATTAGGTTCTCTTGTAAGGTGTCACTTTTTCCCATCTTTTTGAATCCTGGTGTGTATTCGGAAAATTCACTGGGAGTAGAATTCCGATCGCGTATTCTTTCTCGTTTTTGGACGTTACTTTTGTTTCACATAACAATAGAGGATCATTTGAAAACAGAAGTATCGTGAACGAGTCGAGGACATTTTGGAAAGCGTTCTCGTATTTCTTCATTTTAGTACCCATGGCGAATATAAAACAAACCTCGTATGTATTGCTTACACCACCAGTGTGCTTGGTTTATATTAGCACATTCTTCATGTCCATTTATGCGGACTTCCTGTTTTCTGTAAACGATGAATTTATTTCACGATGGACTCGCAATTGAGAAGCCTTTAAAGCCCTGTACAATTGTTTCGTTTCTCCTAGGGGTCATCAGCAGCGTATATCCATGAGTTTCTTGCCACTACTACTAAAATGATGTTGATCAATGGTGACATTTTTCTCTTTTCGTCCCACAATTCAGGTGATCTGTTGCATGCTCGTATGAAAGGTGCTGCTCTAGTTTGTGCCAATATTAGTCAGATGTTGCTTGAACTAAGCGAGCAGCTTGCTTCCTGTTCGTTATCCGACGCAACTAACTGTAGTAGTTGCACGTCAATAAGCCATCTGCGTTCAAATCCCAGTTTGCTGGTTTATTGTTGGCGTGGTGGGCAGCGGTCCAATTCACTCGCCACCGTTCTTTCTGAGGTCAGATGGCCTACTCCAATCCATGTTCTCGTGGGAGGTTATCGATCTTGGCGTCGACTTCTGCTGCGTCAACTGGATGCTTGGCCCCGTTGGCGAATGCCCGGCCAATTTTGGGTGATTTCTGGTTTAACAGGTTTGTTAACATTCCGTATTGATCAGCTCACAGGAATGGTCATTTGATAATTATCTGTGACTGTGATTTAAACTCTTCTCTGCTTCAACAAGGTGAACTCATTTGTTTCTTTATTATCTCCAAACCTGGGATTCAAACCACAGGAGAGTAATATTAAATTTACTGTGTGTCATTCTCTCTATCAGAAGAGCAAAGCATTCATCTTTTTTCTTTTATCCAGACATTCTAGCACAAACAATGGGGACGCTCTCTTGAGTGTTTGCAGTAGATGTGTGCGTGTGTGTGTGTGTGATTTCATTTCATTTAGTGGTAAAAAATCACCGGAATCAAACTTTTGAAGTCCACCTAGTTTACCGACTGATCGGAAGTGCACACCAGATGGACGTTAAATAATGAATCGTAGTCATATCGCGATAGCATATACCCCGCAAAAAAGTATTGCACCCCCAAGAATTATCATTATCCTCGCTCTTACACGCACGATGATCACCATTTTGGGGAATTTTAACGTATTATATCGAGGGAGAAAAACAGAATTTTCACTGCGAAAAAGTGTTAATTAAAGAGTCCGACGGCACACAGTTTCATATTCAGCAATACCGTCTAGATCGAGGGGCAAAACATTTTAAGGCCCTGTTCAGCTGACCCTCGTCAGCACATGACCTCCCCCCGGTTCAACTGTGCAAATACTGCCAGTTGACTTCAGTCCTCCATCTGAAATAGAGGTTACCCGGAAATAAGCTATGTCAAAAGATATAAGGCTTCCGGCCCGGACGACTTTCCCCATCGGTTTTCAATGATGATGGTCCTCTTGTAAAAACCTTAGAGGAATTAGTTTAATCAACGTTGCTTCGAAACTCCTCGCTGGCATCATACTCCATCGATTGTGTACCGTACGCGAACAGTGCACACGTGAGAACCAGGCTTGTTTTAGACCTGGTCGACCACATCTTCACTCTTCGTCAAATCCTAAAATACAGACACTCCTTTCGTACGCCCCCCCCCCCTGTTCTATCCTCCTCGATCGAACGCTCTAAACTCTGGCACTGCTTTTCCTTGATGAATGTCCCCGAGAAGTTTATTTCAATATCAGTATCTCTCTACAATAATCGCTGAAGTCGAGTCCGAGCCCACGACGCTTTCACCCGAGTTCACCACGGAAAGTGGTGTTCGACAGGGTTGCCCGCTCTCTCGTTTCTGTTTGACTTTGTGATGGATTTAATTCTCGAAACAGCCCTATCCTCGTTCGAGGATAGTAGCATCGATTTAATCCCGGGTGGCAGACTGTCTGATATAGAGTGTGCAGACGAAATTGTGCTCTTAGGTGAACATCCAGGTAAGTTGCAAGCTTTTCTGTATAGTTTGAGTGCTAGTGTGTCCATGTTCGGCATGCGTTTCGCAAATGTTGCTCTAAGGTTCGGCTGGTCAAGCCCCCAACCTCGCCCTGATTGGGGAAGTAGATAAATTTTGTTATCTGGGCAGCTATATCTCACCTGGCGGAAACATCACAGATGAAGTTTCGGCGCGCATACAAAAGGTTTGGTTAGCAGTTGCAAACTTAAAACATTTGTGGCACCGTCGCAACATCCGGCTGTCTGTAAAGGGTATATGCTGCAGTTCGGCCCGTACTACTCTGCGGTGCAAAGACTTGGCCATTACGGGAACAGGATAAAAATAAATTATCGGTGTTCGAACACCGCTGTCTACGTACCATTGCACGAGCCTGGTGGGGTAACTTGACGAGCAATGCTGAGGTGAGGCATAGAGTTTCAGGTGATCGTAATCGCCTACTGGAGCAAGTGATCGACCTCTATGGACTACGCTAGTTGGAACATGTGCTACCCATGCCACTGGATAGGTTGCCACGGTGAGCGATGTTTGCCGTGGAAGGTAGCGGTTGAAAAAGATCAAGGACGGTCAAACTAAGACCTAGTATGAGGGTATGAAGTCCCCAACCAAGAAACTCGGTCACATAGTTCCATTTAGGTGCCCTTGCTGGGGACTCAGAGATCATAGTCACCGATCGTTAGAAACACTGAGTGATATGGCTGGGTGTCGCAAACAGCGGCGCTCATGCATCTACTCATTGTTTTTTTAACTTCAGTCTATATAAATGCGCTTTCTTCAGTTTGAATTTCCTGTCGACATTCTCATCTTCATTCTGCTGTTTTATCCAAATGGGGCATCAAAAGGCAGCAACCAAAACCGGCGCACGAAGATGTATGGGTAATAGTTGTAAGAACTTCATTTAAGTGAACTGCTACAACCCGAATGGACTTTACCCATTGATGCCACTTTAGTACTCTGCAAAAGATTTCGAATCATGTCTGTCGATGTTATTATACTCTCTGGTCACAATTCTTCTAATTCATGCTTTGTGGAGTAAACGTATCTTTTTCTGACAAGAAATGCCCACATATTTTCTGTCTTCTTTATATCTGGGCTGCGCGCAGTCCACAACATGGTTTTGATGCCGCAAATTAGTAGCCAGCATTTTGTTTTTTATGAATTATGAACTACGGCGTATCATTCTCGAAAATGGCTTCTGGATGACTGTTTTTTCCATTGCTGGCATAAGGTGCCGCTCCGGTATGTGAATGTATGCATCAAAATCTTCCACCCTACGTAGTAAAGCGAGTTCGGTTGGGCCGCTGCTCGATAAGACACCCCGTAGAATCACGCAGTTTTGTTCGGTATTTCGCTTACTGAAAAATCGCTGTGCTTTGCACGGATGGTGTCAGTAGTTGTTAAACGTGTCACTTGCATCCGGACTGAATTTCTTTCGGCTGCTAACTTCGACGAAATAGCATTCGTTTCTCCAAGTTACAAGAGTTTCAGTCCAGAATAAACTTCTTTTCTGTTTGTGAAGTTGTTATACCCCTGCACCTAGTTATTCTCTTGTGGTCCATCCACAGAACCGTCTTGATTGTTCGTTGTGTCGTTCACACCAGAATTTGCAACTCCAGCACCATTTTCATCTCCAATGCATGACACACGGAGTTTAAGACCAAGTTTATCAGTCTGTGATTATCTTTCTCCGAGAGGTTTTCTAACTTCCAGTCCGTTTTGGACTGGTTTTAACTCTTTCTGCTTCAAATATTGTGTCACACAGGATCGGGACCTATTGCACGATTTGGTTATCACCTGTGCTGACATCGAATTTCACGAGATACATCACTTCTAGGTCTCGCAACCGTGAGTAGTATACTTTACCCACACAAACTTAATACCCCATGGAGCTCCCTGTACAGATTTTTCATCGTGTATGGGACCTTGATTAACTATAACTCATTCCTTCCACTCTCTGTTTCATATTCTAAACCACAAGGATCGCACAGATGCAATCAGGCTATGAACAGAGACGATGATGACAATTGTTTCAACACGGATGGTAACCTATGCAACCAGGCTGATTAGAGAAGAGGGACACTGTAGTTGACAGGCGGTTATCCTAGGCATTGTGGATAGAATGCAATCGCTAAAGCTTCGATACAATACAATAAAATTGTCATTCCTGGAATTACAGAGCAAAGTGTAACTTCTGTTATCTAGTGGATCGGTTCAATTTTAATTTTGCTATTCCGGTGGAATACTGCTGATTCTTTCACTGTTCTCATGTTAAGTATCTTGCCAAGCGTGCATTTCAATGCCTGGTAGTCAGTTGCTTAAGATTCAACGGAATCGGTGTTATATAAGAGAACGCCTGTTTCAATGGAATTTACTCACCAGACTATGGAGGGTCTAGACTGAACTTAACCATGCAATAAAGTATGCCCACATTTACGCCCGAGCATGGTGACCGAGTTATCAATCCATCCTGTCGTGACTAGCTTCGTTTCTCGGTCCACCGAAGTCGGTTACCATCGCGTCTGTTCATTGTCGCCTAAAGCCCACTAAAGCGACTGAAAAAAATGCGCAGGGCGTTTGCTTCAAACCTGATCGTTTTAGAGTGAGTAGGAATAATCCAGTGACTACGGAGTAGTTGACAGATTAGTGGAAAATTCCTGTCCTCAAATCCACATAGTTATTCCATACCACGCGTGCTGTCTCGTGTTTCCTTCCGCATGTTCAGATTTTTCCATGGGATAGCAATGGTGAAATCGAATTGGTCGAACCGTGCCAAATGCGAAGGATAGTTACGTTCCACGATTTTTATCACTTAACTTTCTTTTTGCTCATAATGTACTCAGTGACAACGGTATAGAAAGCTGAAAATCCAACTAACATGAGTACATAAACCTTTTATTACTCAACTTGATTTGAAAGTTGACTGACGATTTAATCTTGACTGATGCGGTTTTTTCATGGAGGGATTAACGAAAAAAATCAAGTTTCCTGCACAGAAATGGAATCAGGTTTTACAATTGAAGCATATTACAGTTGCACTCCCCTTAATCTCTCTTTTGAGGATGCATAACAAGGCATTACGGGTCTCATATTTCTTTGGTGACTGTAATTGGAACGACCTTTTTACAGTTGCCTTCTATGTTGGTAACCCAGCATATTCAATAACGATGGTGTTACTATTCATTATTCAAGGGCTGTATGACAAACCATTTCCACAAAAAATTAGTTGACTTCAGAAGACCTGTCCCGAAGCCGTCCAGAACTCTAGATTTGACGCCATCATTTTTTTCTTTTGGAACCGACTGGAGTCTGTTGTTTATACTCTCTAGCCGCAGTCCTTGAAGAAACTGGAAGAAAAAAATCATAATTACGTTGTAGAACATCCGGATGGAAGGAGACAGGAAAGGTTGCGTGAGTTCGATAAAGCGAATTGATGGATGTGTTGAGGGCGAAGAACAGTCCTTTGAAAACTTGCCAGGGCCACCAACTAGTGTTGCCAATTCAATGACGAAATGGAAATCTGTCTTTTTCTAATAAATGGACAGATCTCATTTGGCAGCGATAACTAATATGGTTTCCCATTTGGCCACTGTCCATCCACGGTCAGTTAACCACAATGGCATATACGAAACATGCGATAATCAAAACACAAAATTGCTCGGAAGAATTGGCCGTAGCTGAGATTTTCATCCCCGTTATCCAGTCACATTCAGTTCTGAGTAACACAACGTATAGCATCTAATTATTCATTGAATAAAATTGCCTCAACTTGCAGAGACACGTCCTTCACTTTCCACCCTCAGGAGCATTTTTATCATCACATTTTCCTGCCGAATGACGACAGCATAATCGGAATGAAGTCCGATAAATCCTCTCTCGAACGAGAGATCGTCCGAAAACGACCTGTCTAACGTTCTATTCCTTTAGTTGCGCTTACATGCATGGATTGCTGTTCTTCAAAAATCAAAAGGGTATAGATTGCTTTTTCATCACCAGAACACATAGGCAAAAGTAGCTCCGCTTCTTCTGCATTAGGCTATATCCGTCATACTAAAAAAGACAGGTTGCTAGTTTGTTGCCGTGATAATCAAACGCTTTCACTATTGTATTATTGACCTGAGGCCTGAGGCGGTCTGAACTTCGGTTTATAGTTCCTTTCTCTTTGTGTGTGTATGTCCTCGGTATCTACGCGGAGACCCCGCGTTGCACTCACAGGAAAAATATCGTGGCGTTTGTAACAAGTGCGGTAATTGATGGATTTCAACGATTTTAGGAGAAACTGTGCAAGACATACTGCCAGGATGTCAAAAAATCTCAACGAATCGTTATGAAATTCAGTTTTTTAAATGAGTTGGTATCTCCACGGTCTACTTCGTTGTTTGATAGTGTTGCGTGGCACCACTATTTGATCAACATAATTTTCTTCATATCCTGTAGCAAAACATCCGCGATTCTCATATCGAATTCGAATTTTTTGCATGTCGACAATATCCAAACTAGAGCGAGCTATNTTGTGTTCTCACGGGTCCAGTATCCATGTCGTTTTCAGATTCATAGAACCCAGTCCGAAACAACCAGCTCGTGCTTTATCTATATTATGACCATTCGGACTTTTTTTAGAGACAGAGATGTTTCTAGAATCATTTGATTACTTCATATCTCGTTCGCGATTCACTCTTATTTGATCCGTATCACTGCCGGCACAACTCTTTCAGTTATTCATCAGTTCTTGTTTTCCCTAGTCTCCTCTGTTCTACTGTAGTACCGAATTCTTGAATCAGTGTTGTGTGAAGAAAGTTGCACGAAACAAGCAACCTCTTGAGTTCCATAGAATCATTAACCTCGAAGGTAGAACTCACTCCCTCTACGCTGGCAAAGCAACAATGGAATATGTCCCGTAGGTTAATGTGATGATACAGACAATTGTGTCCGTATTTTGGGTTAACTTGTAAAGAGCACCTTTTTGTATCCTTCTCTTTTTGTACTGACTTCGTCTGTTCCGTTTTTATCCTTTACTTCCGTTTCTAGGTTCAGGAAAGTCGTTGGTTCTTCAAGAACTGGCCCGAGTGAACGAACTTGTGCTGGATTTAGAATCATTAGCTGAACATAAGGGTTCTGTTTTCGGATCGGGTTCGACTGACCTCAGTTCACAGCAGAGCGATACACGTGTGTCACAAAGACAATTCGAAACCAGGTTACATCAAACGCTGACGACCAACCCCATTTGGACCGACTCGTCTCAGGTTATATGGATCGAGTGTGAATCCCGATCGATCGGTCCGAATTGTCGACTGGGCGACAGTTTGTGGTCGCGGCTTCGTGCAACTGACCAGTGTTGGGGTGCTTTCCGAGTTTGGCTTGAGGTTTCTGAAGATGCTCGAGTTGATTGGATTCTACGAACTTATGACGCGTTCACGAAAGACCGTGCCGCGCTGGATTCGGTGTTTTTAATGTACGTTCTTGTTTGGTGTGGGTCGCCGTGATAAGTAGGAATCTACTTCCAATTAACTTATCGTGTTTGAAATATTTCCTTTCGTTCTGTTCACTTTATATGATCACTAGTCTTGCATCGTGTTATCTTTATCTTGTTACCTGTGAGAAGCTTATGGGTGTATGAGTTGTATTAACTTGCAACACCATATAGAACCCAACGTTTCAAAGCATACAGCTCGATCCGTCCGTAACACAGATCGTTTATGATGATGTCACCTGCAATAATGTGTCGTTTGATTTGAACTTGCTCATCACCCACCATCCCTCATGTTTTGCACCTCTAATGTCGATCGACTCGAATAACAGAGAGAACTGAGCTATGTGGTTACCGTAACGCATGAGTCACGACCGGAGGGAGTTCGCATGCTCGTCCGTACTTAGGGGAATGCACCAATGCGGTTCGCTCCATTTACCTTTGGATGTCTCCATCTGTTAAGTTTTCGGATTTAAGTAAGTGGTGGCATCCGGACCGACCAGAACTGCTCACTGAATTGGTGACTCAACAAGTCGTTCATATTAAGCCTTTTAGATTCTGAAGTACATTTCCATCATTTTCGAGTCGACTGTATACCAATCGGTTGAAACCCAAACAAAGTACAGAAAAGAATTTCGGATAACAATAGTGTGGATTAATGGAATGCAACAATACGCGGTCTCTGTACCCGACCATCTTCTCTTGACCGATTAGCGCTCGTATAAGCTAGGCCATAGATGCATTGTCACAAATTGAGAAATGAATTCAGCTTTATTCTAGATAAGCAGTTCGAATTATCTCTTGTTACATGACAGACCACCTAATAGTGGACTGCTGAGTAGTGCGCGTTGCGATAGTTTCTCTTCGTGACTTCCGCTAGTGTTGATTCTATACTGATATTTTCTCTTGGTTTTCCGTCTCGTTTCCTGTTGTACAAGGGGTCAGCGAGCTTCCGTTTGCTGCAACTGTACATCCGTCCTGTTTATCGAGTTTTCTTCTCGTGTCTATTATTGAATTCCTTCATAGTCATTGCTCCCTAAAGAGACCCTAGTCAGTGTAATTTGCTCCTCAGTAGACAAACGATGTGAATGCACACAGAAACCATGATCACAGCTGTTAGATCGCCGAGCACTCCTCATCTGATGTGCAATCGACGCACCATTAACCACCGTGTTAGTCTTCCTCTCCGTGAGCACAGGAAGAAGACAAATGTTGATGCAAGCATTCTACTTAGCTTCCTCAGTCGCTTACGTAAACACGCAACTTATATGTTACAAGGGCAAACAATGAATGTGAGCGTAAAGGTGAATCATAAACCATAACGGTGTCTAAAGGGTTGGAGTTCGGCCAGTTCCGAATCACAGACTTGTGACGATTCAATTATTTTAATGCACAAAGCGGTCTCCACCATTCATTGACGTAAAACAAACAGACATAAGTATATAGCACATTGGTTTGGTAAATCCGTGTGTGTGTGTGTGGTGGTGGTGGGGTAGTTAAAGGTCAACCCCAGGGCAAGTGAACTGATTGTGCACAAAACGGGATGATGGGATCCTTCTCACTGCGTCAGCGACTGAGGAGGTTAAACGAATCGGCGACATCTTGCAACATTTGTCCTCGTCCGTTTCTGATGTAATGGGTTTCACATAGAAGTCGTTCGTGTGTTGTGATTAGTGTCGCTTAACCGAATGTCAACAATCTGAGTTACGATTACGGAACACAACTTTGAATAAATAGGTCAGATCAACTTGGTGTTCTGTTATCATAAGAAGTCGCTCAGTCGATTGAATCAGATTTTTCTTTTTGCCTGCATCGTTTCAGTATGGCACATTATCAACGTCTGCGGGCGCTTGGGCCTATGCTCCGCCATTTGTCGGGTCAGACAACGATTCACTGCATCTGTATATTGTATTGTAACTTTTGCAAGCACTAAAGCGTATGTTTCAGCTAAAAAGCTATACACGCCAGTTCTCACAGAGAACATATTCAACGGGGGAAAATGTTTACAGACATGGGGACATTTCAAAGTCTAAGGTTAAGACGAAGTTCACTTGTTATCCTCTCTTTGTTTTTCAGTAAACGTGCAGTAAAGGTATAATTTTTTGTACGAGAAGAAATTTCGCGGAGTTGACAGCGGGTGGAGCTATAGGACCGACAATGTGTGCGTTCTGCGCTCAATGGGTTGTCAGGATCTTTGAAAATCCTCTTTGAAAATTTCATGAAGGAATTTGTATGGTACTCCGAAAGATTCACGGCTTACTCATTCACAGGAATTAAGGAAACACGGCTTACCTTAGCTAGATCGCTGTGTGAGACTTTGAAATCCTGTTTAAGTAAGCCTGGGAAAATAACTGGGGAACAATAAAGATAGGTAAAACAGTGATTACACAAAGGTAGAAATAACTGACTGGGATGCGCGAAACTGCCAGAGCTTTGCAATTTGAAACGATAGGTGCCGCAGTTTACCAATGCAGTTGTTGATGTGGGTTGACCAACGAAGATTGCTAGCTATGGATACAGAGTTCAACCTTGTTAAAGGATTGTTATTTATCACTGTGGGGTCTGTCGGATATGAAGACCGTGCAAAACTATATACGTATTCAACACTTTTACTGAGGTTTAAGCTTAACGCCGATAAGGAAGAAAACGAATGAATTTGACCTATATTGTCAGTGAAAGAATAAATGGTTTGGCACAGCATATCATTCACATATTTCAAAATACGTGCAGGCGAAACACAAGGAATATCACAAATTTACGTTGAACATTAGTATGGGAAGCACAGCTCCTTGAAGAATTCTGCAGTTGTTGACTAAGAGTTTAGATGAAGCTTTCTCTAATCTAGTCGTTTGTTCTCTATGGTTAAAGTAGTTGGATAGCTAAAAAAACTGTTTGGGGGTGTTCAAACGATCCTAGTGTCTGTAACAACTTTGATCGAGGAATGGAATCAGATAAGTAAGAGTAGTCCAGAAAATAAAACACCAATGCCACACCGAACAAACTTCACACAGTTGTTCAAATACTTAGTGATAAAATGGATAAAGGAGGGACCACGTCTTAAGTAGATCTATTAGGCCTGTAAACAAACTGCAAAGAATCATTGGGAATGATCATAGACTGTTGAATGAGTTGACTAAATGTTTAGATGAAGTGTTTCCCAATCTGGTGGTTTGTTATCTATCAGTAAAATTGTCGGTTAGTGTTGTGTCTCCCCAAACTATCACCGAACCTGGCCCTACAATGCGTATCCCAACGATACCTGTTTTTAACTGGTATTGGTAGTGCTAGCTGACCGTGGATTGGGAAAGGGAGAAACGTGCGGTGTATATGGGATTGATCACAGTCTAGTCATTTTTCCGGAATGGTGGACACGAGGGGGCCGATAAAGAGATTGCATTGTGTGACGAGTAGGCAGGAAGAATGTCCAATGGCTGGCGCAGGAATGCTTCATTGAGATCGCCAACATCAACGTCAAACTTCGACCGTACTTTTTGCCTACTACAGAAAAATCTGATACCTTGCTACAGGCAATTGCTGTTCCCACTCCTCAGAACTCTATCGGAGCATAATGCGTTTAATCTATCTACTTCAGCTTGATAAGCCTGGACAAGTGCCTGACAACTGAATCTTTGTGGGATTTGTATGCACGTTCCTATTTTCGTCATAACGGCTTTAGTGGTGGATATGTTATCTTTTTGTTGAACTTTTCACAGGACACCAGTAATTACGAATGGCATAAATTGTTTGAGTGAATAGAGAGACGTAGGTGAATGGAGAAGGAGAGGATGGAAACCATAAAAAAGCCTGTTTGAGTGATTCATTGGGTAGGAAAACACTTGCGGGTGAACAGTTATGAAAACCAGATCTGATGTTTTCAGATCGTGTGAAAGTTTTATATGCAGTGTGAATAAACTTTAGGTCGAACTAAGAGTAAGCAGTGGTTACTGGTGTAAATTGGTGCTGATAATGGTAAAGAAGGGATTGGGTTGTTAATGATTGCTCTGTTGATTATGGAGGTTCCTTTTATGGGAGAAGGACAAAAATGTGCCATACCTAGTGATAAAAGAGGATTAGTACTAGTATGGTTGAAGTGGTCAAAGTGAAACAATACAAGATATAAACCGGTTGAAGTGTGACATAAGATCTGATTGTGTACAGTAAGGTGAAAAGTGTGTGAGGCCGCCTTGAATGCAGTACATATCAGAACCGTCGCTTATACAACGTTTGTCAACGGTAAGCTGAGTGTTTTTTTATTTTTTGGAGCAAAACGGACCGGTGAAACTGCTGTGTGTAGCGCACTGTCTACAAATTTTACTCCCTTTCTGGATGAATTTGTGAGTACTACGTCGCTAATGGTTGAATTGTTTGCCATTCTGTAGTTTTTTCTGATTTGCCGTAGTTTTAGTGAACACTCTAAAAAATGATCGTTCTATTTATCAAAGCTCGATAGTGAAATTCGAGTGTCTATATTTTTTGAATGTGAAATATATCTATATATATATACTTTACACTTGTGTCTTTAACCCGTAATGACTAGAACTTATTCTCTCACCCCTTATCAATCGCTTTTCGAACAGATTATCAAAATACCATTCCAGTAAACGCATAGCTGAGTGGCGTTCTCATGTAGACCGCGGCGATTATGTCAGCCTTGTTCATGGCTTATTGCGCCACCATTACGACCCGCTTTATCTGGAGTCCCGAAATCCGATCATGATGGAGGCTGAAAAACATCAACTGGTACACAAAATCCGCCTGCCTACGGTGGATGTCGATACGGTACAAAAGTTGATTGTTCCGCAATTATTAGACTTAGCCCATGCTACACATTTAAGACCGCAGCGGAACTCCATCAGGTAACCATATGTGTTGGAGACTACTATAAACCGTAAAGGATGAAGCACCGACCAGGGCTTTGTAGCAACCCGAATTTTTCCTCGTTTTGGGTCAACACCTAGCACGCTCTTTTTGTACATAGAACAGAATTAAATCCTTTCCCAACGAACTTTTTGTTTTTGTTCATTCTTATTTGTTCGTGTTTGATGTTGCTGTTCTTGTTGTTCACTGACGTACACATGACAGATGACTTCTATACTGCAGGTAATTTGGCGGTCTCGTCTCATGACTAGTGATGGTTACATTGAATAACAACATGTTTACGTGAAGAGAAAACTGGTTAATTGGTCTGCTTCAATCGTTGAAATAGTCATACAGAGCACACTTCAAACAAAACAACAGAGCGGCGAACAAACCTCGTTTTCAAAGATTCGTATTCGTGCCAATACATCTCAATATATAACACTTCTTGGGAATAAAATAAAATAAAATCACAGATTAATGGGAGCGGTTCATCATGAGACAGGAAATCGGGATCACCACGATCCCATGTTTGTTTGTCCACTCATCCGATTATTGAGGTTACTTGTGATACGGTTTGTGTGTGTGG